AATGGCTGCAATATAACAAAGAGTGAAAAATTTAAGGGGGTCTGAATACTTTCCGTACCCACTGTATATACACATGTATATACATATACATTCACTACCTTTCAAACATTTGTAGTCTGTAAGATTTTTTAAAAAGAAATTATATGTTTATTCAGCAAGGATGCCTTCAAAATAATATTTAAAATATTTAGCAACTTTTCAGTAATAATAAATTATAAATTAAATAAAATAAATTATTTAGAAAAATATACATTTTTTTTATTGTAATAATACTTCACCAAATTTTCTCTATGTTTTTGATCAAATAAATGCTGCCCTGGTGAGCTTAAAGGTGCAATAGGTGATTGTCTTCAGAAACATTTTTTGTTATGCTGGTTGAAAGTCTCTTCACATCCCGATAGCAATCACTAAGACTAAGTTAAGTGGTCGAAATATTTATATGTATTTATATCACCTGTGGAAGGCTTAGGACCATAGAATGTTCGTCCAATCAAAATGTTCAGTCCGAAGATGAAGGTAGGCTGTCTTGCCTGCCTGTCAAAGTATGTAGACGAACATCAACAACCCGATCTTCCTTCCTGGTATTGTAGTGCTTTTAAAGTTTTGTCACCGGTGAATGACACATGATGTAGCCCAGCGGTTCCCAATTCCTGTCCTCGTGCCCCCCAGCTCTGCATATTTTGCATGTCTCGCTTAGTTAACACACCCGATTCAGATAACCAGCTCGTTAGAAGTGAGCTACGTGCATGAACTGCGTTCCGATCTATATGATCCCTACACAGTGTTCATTGCTCCCTACTCTCTGAGCAACGGAAATCCGTTGAAGTTTACTTTACTTCAGAACATTCATTCACGGATTTACACACATCACACTCACTCACACACACACGTCTTCACATCCAGTGCGAGGACTGGAATTGGGAACCACTGATGTAGCCTATTGTAGTAATGTTGTCTCTGGTATTCCGGTCTGTGAGCCTATATGCGTTCAGGGGGTGTGGCTTTGGACGGCGATTGCAGGGAGGGTGGGACGTTCGCTTTCAGTGCTATCAGGCTAAAGTTAGCATTTTCCAAGATCTCCTACTGCACCTTTAATGTTAGGTGGGATTAATCGCGATTAATTTCAGAAAAAAATGTGCGATTAATTAGTTAATTTTTTTTAATCGATTGACAGCACTAATAAAAACATGTTGTTTGCAAAATTAAGTACTCTAGGAACCATGTGAGTGATCGAGTATCCTGCTCGGAATGATGATGACAAGGCAGCACTGTATTTATTCCTCATGTATTCTAGTTAGTTAGGCCCAGTTTTAAATCCAGTTTATACTAATATACTTGCACTTACTTATACTATATAAGTCAACACAAATCAAACTGTTTATGGCTCAAAGTATTTCACAACAAAATGTCGGAGAGATTTGGCAGGGCGGGATTCGCGCAGTGCGGTTTATATATTTATTTTCTGGTCTGAAAGGTTAAACCCATCATTTGTTTTAAGCTTTGGTCCTCATTAAAATACTCACCTGACATTTTCAGGTGATCAGAGAAGCACTGATCAGTGGAGTTTCACATCTCTCCCCCCTCTTGGCATCAGATTTGATGTTTCTACCATGAAATATGGATAAACGCATATGTCGCTTATGTGATGGATATCCCTTCAAGTCTGTAGTAGAGAGCTATCTGACCTTTGCCACGCCGTCCAATGGCAAAGATAAAAGGCACATTTGCAGTCAAAGGGTCTCATCATCAAGGCAAGACCCCTTCCCCCTATCCTCCTTCTCATCCTCGGACCCCCAAGTGTCTGAGAGGTGCCGTACAGCAGCATATACACTCATCACTCGAGTAGACGTGCTGCCCGTTCACCCCATCTAATTACACCTCTCTCATTGCGCCAATTAGCATGGTGGGAAAAGAAAGGGTTGGAGGCTGAGAGATGGAAGCTGAGGACCACCTATCGGTGTGTGTCATTCATTAGGGATGGTGGGATGGAGGATGAAAAGCAGTGGGCTCACACACCCTGACTCCAGCGCCACAGGAGAGGGACACGCTCAGAGGGGCTCACCTACTGAATGCTCTCTTCTCGTTATAATGGCCCTAATTAAGAGGAAGGGGGGTTGAAATGGCTCTATGACTCTTTTTCTCAATCTCATCTTTTATCAGGTCTCTGCGTTCTCTACATGGGAGAAGGAGCTTCATAAGATTGTATTTGATCCACGTTATCTGCTGCTCAATCCCAAAGAGAGAAAACAGGTACACACACACTTTATTGAACTGCTACATTGTCCACAAAGTAAAAACCGATTGATATCGGCCTCCAAGTATAGTGTACATTTGCCCACTCATCTCACGCCACTGTCCACTCTGCAGGTGTTTGATCAGTATGTGAAGACGCGTGCTGAGGAGGAGAGGAAAGAGAAAAAGAATAAAATCATGCAGGTCAAAGATGACTTCAGGAAAATGATGGAGGAAGCTAAACTGGGTGTCAGGTAAATGCTTAGACCTTTAAGTCAGTAAGGACCATCAGGATAACCCTAATGCATCAGTGCTGTTAGTGTTAATACTGGTGTTCACTTACTTTTGTGCTGGTTTCATTTTAAAGGTGTTTATCAGAAATCAGCCAAGTAGGTTATGAAACAATAATCTATTTTAAAATGTTGGGCTTTGCACAGCATCTTTAAAATGTGCAGTTCAATGGCCGTCCATCTGCATGCTGACTTAGACGAACAATTAAAAAATAGCAAGAACACTGTGAACAACCTCTAAGTTTCTTTTTGTTTAATGTTTTTGTCTGCAATAACAGTATAATGTTTTTTAAAAGAAATCTTGCGGACCGCAAAATTTTGAACAGTAGTTTAAATATTTGATGATTAACTGATTGGCATCCCTAATTCAATGATAACCTGATAAGGTCTCAGTTACCACCACATTGAAGTGAAGTCATTTTTATTTCTGTAGTTCTTTTCACAAGCTATGATATTTCAAAGCAACTTGGAAAACTTCTGGAAAAAAAAAAAATCATATCTTAAATCCCTCAGTGAGTAAAGAAAAAAAACTGTATAAGATGTTTAGGTAGAGGAGAGAAAAGACTTTGAGAGGAACCCATCCTTGCATTGCAATGAATGTAATATGCTAAATGCATAATCTAACAAGGACTTTGTTGTCTTCACAGAACAACATTCAGTGAGTTCGCTTCCAAACACGCCAAGGATTCACGCTTTAAGGCCGTTGAAAAGATGAAAGACAGAGAAGTCATTTTTAATGAATATATGATGGCCTTCAGAAAGAAGGAGAAAGAGAACTCAAAGAATCGTGGGGAGAAGGTGAGGAAGTGAAGTTTACACAGAACTGCTGAGATGTCAGTCCTATTAAACTTTCGGAAGTGGTGCTTGTTATTTAACTGACATTTAATACAATAGAAGCAAGTGTTCAATAGGTGCACATAAAAGAACCAGGACCCCCTACCCAGACATTGTTGTTATACATTGGATATCTTGTGGTAACTTTTTAAAATACTTCACATTCATTGTCATGTAGTACACTGCATGTTCACAGCCGAATACACACGCAGACTGAGACCAAGAGACTGACTGTCTGTTAGTTGTTCATGAGCTGTAATCTGCCCTGGCGTTTGGTCCACACACTCGCTGTCTCTGTGGCTAGGGTTAAGTGCAGAGCGTCTCGGCTGATTGCCTTTGGCAGCTAAAGGTCAGCCATCAAACATTAATGCCAGGGAAATGTCACCTGTATGGGGGGGCCATAGGTTAGAAGGGAGTGTTCACCAGGTGGGGTTCACCAGAGGATGCCCGTCTAATTCCATGATAATCAAACCGTATTAACAACGATCAGGTGTTTTAGACACATTTCTGAATTGTTGCGATGGCCGGTGGCAGCAGTAGACTTATTAACCACTGGCTTTGGACATATGTTACTGTAAATGTATAGTTCAGAAGTGATCTGTTCATCTAATTGCATCCTGCAAAACAAAAACAAATTCTAGGCCTTCACTTTTTTCTATTCTATTATTATCCTTTATCCCTTCCTGTCCTAGCTTTTACTATTTTCAATGAAGGCTGAAACCTTGTATTATGGGCACTTCTCGTGTTTATTGCCATCTTATGAAAAATCGCTTGTTGTATTCCTCAACTGTAAGTCACTTTGGATAAAAGCGTCTGCCAAATGAATAAATGTAAATGTAAGTGAAGAAACATTGTCACAGAATCCAACGATATAAGTAAATAATCATTTGACTTGCCTTGCTCTTAGGTGTAAGAGTGGTGTCATCCCATAGGTATTTGAACCTCCTTCCTTTTACCTACGAGCCTAGATCTACACAGGCTATATTCGAACCTACATCCCTGCACTTATATGTGCTGTGAACATGTCATGTCTCCAACCCCTGTATCACTCTACCTCAATACACTTTTGTCTGCAGATTTGCATTTGGAGTCATTTTGAAGAAATGAGCTCTTTATTTGAGCAACTACACATTATTTGGTGACAGTAGCACACTGGTGATACTTCATGGATTGCCTTTTTTGGGGGTTGAAACTGCAACCGTACCAACATTTTATCTCTTGAACTTTAACCATTAAGCACCAATACCCTATAGATTTATGTTGCTGTTGTTTTCTTTAAGGTCAAGCAAGACTTTTTTGAGCTCCTGTCAGATTACCATGTGGATGGTCAGCAGCGCTGGAGCAAAGTGAAGGAAAAGATGGAGACTGACCCTCGCTACAAGGCTGTGGAAGCCTCTGCAGCTCGAGAGGAACTCTTTAAAAACTATGTGGAGCGTCTTGCCAAGGTTAGTGCAGCTGCTTCACTTTACACCATGCTTTGATGCCAGGCCAACAAGTGAGAAAAACATTGAGAAATGCATGAAAATGTTTAGATGATAAATTCTTTTACAGAATGGATAAAAGACAAATGTAAAGACAAACATGTATAGACTACTCAGCTTTTCCTGGTCCTTGATCTTCATACTCCTCCAGAATCCAAACTCTGAGAAAGAGAAGGAGCTAGAGAAACAGGCCCGGGTAGAGGCCAGTCTAAGGGAAAGAGAGCGCAGGGAGGAGGCCATCCAGAATTTGAAAGCACTCTTGTCTGATATGGTAATAGACATTGTTCAAGTATGGCTTCATATCATGATGCCAGATTGAATATCTCAGTCTTGAACCTTAATCTTAAATCAAACAATGAAAAATTGACATTGAAAATTGTTTTCTGCATGTGACAGGTGAAGACGCCTGATGCAAACTGGTCGGAGACACGTCGGATCCTGAGGAAGGATCACCGCTGGGAGTCATCCTCACTGCTGGAGAGGGATGAGAAAGAGAGGCTTTTTAACGAGCACATCGAGGTCCTCGCAAAGAAGAAAAAGGAGCAATTTCGCCAACTTCTGGACGAGACGATCTCGGTACATAGTGCCCTGATGCCATTAACTCTGTTGTCTGTTAATCTGCTGTTAATCTGACTCAAATTCTTCCTCTACATCAGATCAATTTGATGACATCTTGGAAAGAAGTGAAGAAACTCATTAAAGAAGATCCAAGATGCATCAAGTTTTCCAGCAGTGACAGAGTAAGGCCCGTCTTTGCCTCTTGATCAATTTTTAAAAAACAAGTATTGGAAACAAGGAGTGTTGTACTCCTCTAGTCAAAAAGTTACGTCTTTGTTAAAGCGAAGTCTTTGTTCCTGCTCTTCACCTTTTCACCGTAGAAAAGACAGAGGGAGTTCGGTGATTACATCAAAGACAAGTACATCACAGCCAAAGCAGACTTCCGAACTCTTCTGAAAGAGACCAAGTTCATCACCTACAAGTGAGAAGCTTCAAATATGTGATTATAAAATTCCAGATTCTAATTTTACCCTATATAAATGCAATTATGTAGTAAGAGAAACGGTAAATATAAAAACTGTAACAATTGGCCTATTAAATATTGTAATTACATTATCATAGGATTTTCATGCAATAATGCCATTTTGTGAATAAATAGAGCTACATGTTTACATTTTCTGAAGAAAGTGTTAGTCAAAATGTAAAGGAAGTTGCCTGCCCAAAAGTAATTCCTCTTGATGTTAAAGTGATGTGGAAGTGTTTTTGCAGGAAGCTATGCAGTTGCTATGGTTTACGGGGTGGCTGGCTGCTAGGCCAAAAGAGCATGTCTTTGATATTCTGTTTGTGGCTCAGGTTTATCCTTTACTGTATGGGATGTTTTTACCACCCATCAGCTAAAACTGTATTAAGTCAACAAGCTAAATGATTAGAGTTATGTCTTATTTCATTTAACTGAGGGTTAGAGATTTGTTCAAATCAATGGTAATCATGACTAGAAAGAAATAACTCGCATAAAAAGTTTGTAAAAAAGGGTTATAGTTCTTCTGACTCATTGCATGTCCTTTTTTTGTGTGTCTCCAGATCACGTAAGTTGATGCAGGAGTCAGAGCAGCACTTGTCTGACATAGAGCAGATCTTGCAAAAGGATAAAAGGTTCCTTGTACTGGACTGTATGTCAGAAGAGAGGCACAAACTCCTCATGGCGTATGTGGAGGAGCTGGACCGCAGGGGACCACCTCCTCCTCCCACTGCCTTTGAACCTGCTCGACGCTCCACTAAATGATAACACCCACCTCCCAGATATTTTTTCCCACTCCTTGGGCCCACACTACCGCCGTTCACATTATAGACTCACAGAAACGGTAAATCACTCCAGTTCAAAGGTTCTACTTGTCAAACCTTTTAAAGTGAATGGTACATACCCACTTGCCCCTAGCTCATGCCACAGAGAACATCATGAGATAATGACCAGTCAATTCAGCTAAGCATAAGACACAGACTAAGTATTTGGACCAACTGGAAGGGTTTTTATATAATGCCTTTCTAGGTCATCCCCACAAGGAGACACAATGTTTTCATGTTCTTACACAAACTCTTTATCCGTCCATTCGAGGGATAAAGCCACATTAGATGCTCAACTGGTGATTGCAGAGGGAGGTATGACCACCTGGTGCATATCAACCCTTTTTTTTCCTCCAGCCCCCTGCTACAGTCTCAAATTGCAAACATCAGTTCCGTTTCACACGTCCAGTCTTTTGCTCCAAACTGTTAAGAAACTGATTTGCTGAAATTGGGAGAACCTCCCAATTTTGTGAACATTTTTTGGTGACTTTAGTCACCCACAGGGATATTCAAGAATTATGAAAGCCTCTCTGTGTATATGTAATTTTAACTGACTGTTGGGTTAACATGTAAGATGTTTCTAGATGAATATATATGGAAAATACGTATTCATTAGTTTGTTTAGTGTGTTACAACTGACCATATGAGCACTGGCAGTTGGCCATGTCAACTGGTCTTACAGTTTAATTTAATTGTTCAGATGTTTCTTAAAAAAGGATATTGTTTTTTTGGACTTGCTTTATGTACAGCTGATGTTGAATAAAAGCAATTTTTTTTTTACTTCTGTGGCTGGATTTTGCAGGTGTGCGAAATAAGTGTAGAACAGCTCAAAGCAGACCACAAAAAGAACACAACTCCTCTGTAGGTAATATATATAAATTTATTTTACACAAATTAATTCCCTAAATACTTTCTTTATAGCATATTCATTCTGTAGACATTTTCATTGCCATCTTATTGTGTAAATACTCTCATAATAAAAAGGGGTAAACTGCAGATATCAGTAAAAGTAAGATTTCAACATCTATTTTGAACAATACCATAGGCAGGAGAACGCCATCCACAGCTTTTCGGCATTTTTATTGTCTTGGTGGACCTGTGCGCACAAGACATCACCACACTTTAGTGATATTGCTACCCATTTTAATATATAATACATATTTTTTTTAACAACATAATACAATACAAGTAATACAGTCATTTCCATATGCTCATAAATTATATCAAGCCAGTTTTATCACTTTTATCTTAAAGAGTTGAACACAAACATAACAATTAGTCACAATAAGGGGGCCAAGTTCAGGTGAGGTCTGATCTGTTGTATGTGGTTTTTTGTTCTTTTGTGTTGAAAAAATTTAAAAGGAGGGATTCTCACTTTCTTACAGTTTTCCTTCCTTGGGATGCTAATGTTCCCAGGGCACAGGATCATTTTCGTGTGACTGGGGGCCAGTCTCCCTCTCCTGCCAGAACTGCTCTACATCTTGCAGTACTATTCCATCTTTGTTGGTCGGGCTCTCCTGCTGTCCTCCACTCTGGTCCGGTTGCTTCTCAGGCTTTTGCTCCTCTGTTTGCCCAGGCCGGTGTGGAGGGAGGTGGGCTGATGTTTCTGGTCTCGGGGTGGGTGACTTTGGGGCAGTCGGGGTGTGTGGTCCTGGCTTGTGTTGTTTTGGCAGTTGTTTGCGGAGGGTGAGCCTTCGCCACAAGCCAATGTAGCCCTCCCTGAACTCCTCAGAGAGGGCGAGAATGATGAGAGGGTTGACTAGAGAGATGGAGAACATGAGGAGCTGGGCGGAGAGAGTGAAGAGGACCGGAGGGAAGGCACCATCGGTGTCTAGCGCGTGCCGCATCCAAACCCAGGACACCCATTGCGGAAGCCACATGGTGGCCATGGCCACTGTCAGGCTGAACAGCATCAGGGTGAGTTTGCGGGATCGGATCTGCGTCCGCAGGTTCTGGGTCTTGCTGGACCTGCGCTGGCATCGTCTATACGCCTTCCAGAAATAAAGTAGGGCAAAACTCAAAGGTGTGCAGTAGGCCAGAAGAGGGTACGCCTTGACATACACGGACATGAAATCGTGGGCATCGACTGGCACTGTCTGAACACAAATCATTCCATTTGCTTCTCTTTGGAGGGTGGAGAAAAGCCACTGGGGAATGGGGACCACGCAAGCCAAGAGCCAAGTAAAGAGCAGGACCACCAGGATAGTCTTCAAACGGATGCTCACATGCTTGGTGGGGTTACTGACGTACCTGTAGCAAGCGTTTGCCATTATGGCCACGGTAAAGCTCTTTGCAGCCATACAGGAGTGCAAGAACCAGTCACAGGTCTTACAGACAAACAATCCCAGGGTCCAGCTGGCACGGGAATAAGCAGTGGCTTTGAAGGGAACAGCAAATGCCAGGACCAGACCATCAGCTAGCATGAGGTTGAGGATGAGCGCGTTGATCAACGACAGCTTACTTTTACGCGCGTTGGTGATCAGGACTCCCATAGCCGTTACATTCCCGGTGAAACCCAGGACGCAGATGACTCCCAGCACCACTGGAATCAAAACCCTCAGATCTCCGTGCTCCAGGTGCTGATATCCACTTCTCTCCAGAAATGAGCGTCTATCTACTGAACTGTTCCCGGCGCTGATGTTCATAGCAGGTAATTTATCCATTTCCGCTGTAATAGATTGGTAATTGGAGATAAATTTGCCAGTGTGTGCAGACGGAAAGAAATTCTCAAAACCGCGTCTATACGCGAATAAACTCCGCGCGCTTGTGAACTGACAAGTCCCCGCGCTCTCTTCCCGCTTTTGACTGGATGGCGCGAAAGCGGAGCGACTTTATAACGGACGTTTTGACTGACAGGTGCCGTCCCCAGCTGACTGACAGACAGCGTTTAATTTCGCCTGTCGCGATCCTCCCGAGGCCAATTAAAATGATTTCGGGTAATAACAAGCACTGACTGCTACACACCGAGTTAAACTTATTGCTTCTATGGTCGCCGTGATTTTGCCAAGTAAGACATGTTCCTGGATCAACATCTTTGTTGATCCTGGATCAACATTACTGTCCAAAAATATAGACTTAGCCCAATCCCTACCCCTAAACCTATACCCATAGTTTATTCCTAAAATCAGTGTGAAATGATAGCTGATTAACAAGGGTGTAGAAGCACCTAACCCTGATCGTAAGCCTAAAACAGATATTTCCTGAAAAGTTATCCCTCAATTCTGATTGGTTAATTGGAATGTTGTTCCAGGATAAGTTATTAGCACCTTTTATAATGTTTGCCATGTCATATATATTCATATCCAAATATATATGATATGGCAAACATTATAAAAGGTGCTAATAACTTATGAAGTCTTACCAGAACATTAGATGTGTCAAAGTAGGCTAACATACATTATTTCGGTTCGAGGAAGGAGGTAAAATCTCTCATCAATTCATTCACATTCCTACAACTTCATATTTCCATTTGCAATCATTTAGCCTTGTCTTTGTCTTCCGCAGGAAATAAAAAAAAATCCATAATTTCCAGTGACAATAGAAGCAGGTGACCGTGACAACATCGTTGTATGAAAAGGTAATATAGACAGTATGTCTGTCTCTTGAACTGTCACACGAGGGCGCCATTGTTTAATTTACGTGTAGTGAAAAGAAGAGCAAGAAAGATCAATTTTGTCAACGTCTTTTTCGTTTTTTTTTTATTTTTATTTTCAACGAATTCCATTAAGCATAAAGACTGCATGGCAAATAATTGCATGTAGATACATTCTGAGCTATAAAACTTTATTTCATTAAGAAGTTTACAACTGAAGTTTTTTTTTCTTCAGAAGAGAACATTACTGGTTCATTTGTACATAATAAAATTCCCTGATATCATTTAACCTTCACATCATGTATAGGCTACATCATGATACCGGTGTTCCTGTCATCCTCAGGCCAAAGTGACTTAACTGAACGATGACGTTTTAACAGTCTCGGACAAATGCAGCGGAAACAATGGAAAAGATGACATCTGATTGTTACAGGTTCATTTGATGGTACGCAACAGGTATTTTCTTCATTGGCTCATTATAGATGACATGTTGCATGCAATAATACTTTTCACCCAGCCATGGCACTGAAGAATAAAAAAACAAACGGGTTTACTGTAATGTTATGAGCATACTGAGATAAAGTGGAGACTATAATGCAAAATTCAAGTACTTCAATTCTGTGTACTGAAAATCCATGTTGCTGCAATTCTTTTCCCTTCTTACACAAAGCTATTTTTCACATTTCTTGTAAAAACATTCCCACTTCACAACCCAAATACCACCCTTCCGAAATCCCACCAACCCTCCATCCCTGTCTGCCGCCCAAGTACCCACATACGAAAAGAAGGCACCACAGCTTATTAAAGGTTACATCAAAATAAGATGACAGCATTAAATGACAAAACATGACCAATGGGATTGACTTTTACTTCAGAGCTCCTTTCAAGAGGAATAATCGGGTTTCAAGGGACTGTGATTCCATCCGCAGGTTGTTTGTTTCAACACTACGATCAGCGCAGATCACATTCTTAGTCTATTACGGATCAGTCAGACATTTCAGAGGAAACTGGAGGGCATTGTGTTTCAAAGAGAATGAAAATCCATTGTTTTTTTGTAAAGGCACCCCTTTGTTTCTGATGCCAGGATGTGAGCAAAGGCCTGTCTTTTTCACTGTTCGTTTTGGCCTTATTAAAGATTCATCATATCATTGCGATGAAAATGCCGATTTGTCCAGATTTAAAGAGTCAGGCATTTCCTTCCAGCAGAGAAATTAATAAATATGATAAATAAACAAGTTTACGGAAGAGGAAATGCAGGTACTTAATAGAGGAAGAATGATTGTGCAGGGCAGGATGCTTCTTGTTTTTGAAAGTCTGGCAGCATCCTTGCACATGGCCAGCATTAGCTGTCCATACTTCTCCCTACATCATGGGCAACTTCCTGTTTCTCATCACAAAAGACACCTTGCAATATCCTGCTGAGCTGCAGCATTTTGTTCCTCTTTCTCTCTCTTTTCAGGTACATGGGGAGGTGGTACAGTTGTGCTAGTTGACCTTATCCTGGAATATGTAAAGGTTATTGGTGGCTGCCACGGCGATGATGTTCTCGGAAGGATGCCAGGCAGTGTGGAGAATTTTCTTGCTAAAGTCCAGACTGTCCACACTGATTTCATCTTTGCGACGCTTTCCGCCCACACACACCTTGCGTGGTTTCAGGATCGCCCGAGGCTTGCTGTTCTCCCGGGACGCCTCCAGTGTCACGTCACGCTTCGTATTACGGTCGAACATTCGGAAGAAGTTGTTGTAAGAACCAGTCATGATCACACTGGAAATAGAACAAAGCGAAACATCAACAATATTCATTATTAGATCATTATTTCACTTTTAAATAATTGTGCATTGATTTATCATTCACAATTGCACCAATATGTTTATTAAAAGAAATATTTAATACAGATGTGTAAAACACTGACCTGTCTGATCCATTCCAAACACATTCAAATTTGTCGAAGATGCAATCATTCTCATACAGCGAGCAGAGCTTACTTCTTAGGTAATCGTGGACCTGGTGGATGAAACAGTGACAATTTTGACTGTTAATTTAGTAAACGCTGGTTTTGACGTCTCTAAAAATTCCTCTCTTTTTAGACCATGTGACTTTTAAATACCCCATCATATCATTTATTGAGCATTTCCTGTGTTGCCATATTTTCTAGCCCATTGATGAAAGATGTCCTGATTTGAAGTAAAGTATGACTGTTTGAGAAACCAAAGATATCAGCAAACCATGATTGGAGGTAGGTGGTCTTTATAATTCAGGATGTTCTCATTATAGAGAGCATTTTATTGGGCAACATTTGTGTAGTGCAATATTTTTGGTCTGATTCCTGAAAGACAGATCATAAATTTATAAATGTGTATGTGTTTTTCTTAGTCTTCTTTTAGGAGTACACCAGCATATAGATGAAGCTAACAGACATGGATTAAAAGCCAAAAAAGCCAAATATAATTTAATGGAGCCCTTAAAAAATCAGCCATTAGCCTTCAATACATTGTTAAATGCAGATAATTTGCAATTAAATTAACCAATGTCGTACCTGATAGGTTTCCAGTGGTTTGCTCTCCATGTTGAGATCCCAGACCTTCACTGTCAGGTAGTCACGTGTCATCAGGTACCGCCCGCTGTGGCTAAACTTTACATCAGAGATGGAGGAGATGATTTCAGAGAAAAAGGAACGATTGCTTGGGTCTTCTGGCTCCTCGAAAACTAGAAGAGAGTAATTAGAAATCAAATATCGAAACTTTAAAATGAGGATAAAACATGTCCCGTCCTCTTTGAATATCCCATCTCACTCAGAATTACATCCCATTACAGAAGTAAAATGGATTGTGTGTGCCATTTCATGTTGGCTTTAAAAACAAGCAACTTTCTAAAGAATTTTTTCTGAATCACTTTCACTGTTTGCTTCCCAACATGTCATAAATCTGCCTGCCTCGCCAGGAAAATAATACATCTGTCAGAGCAGAGAAACAGATATTTATCATCTACTATCGATTATCCCCTCGCTGTTTTGTTGACTCAGTTGCGGATTATCCTGTGATGTGTCTGAGCAGGCATCTACACACCGGATGAAAAAACACGGACAGAGGGGAAGGAAACAGATCAATGCTTGCAGTGATATTTGGGCACTGGTGGACTGCAGGTGTTTGTCATGGAGCGTGCCATGTCACATTGTGAGCCTGTCCACCTGCAGTCTTGCTGGGTGTCATTCAGAGGGGGCTAATGAGTCCTCTGGGGAATGATGTGAGGGGCTACGGCCCTCCGCCCAGACTCTGCTGCTGCTTGGAGCCCTGCTGGGTTTGGTTAGCCTCCCCCGTCTGACACCGCAGATTGATTTTTAAGAATATTCTCTGGGATGCCTGGAAGATTTATTAGTGTGGATGGAAGGAACAACACACACGCACACACTATGCAATAGAGAAGACATTGAGGAGGTCTTTCCTGAGGCAGACTGGCACATCCGCCTGCTGTTAGATCATGTACCAAGGAAAAAATTGGCACGTGTGTATAATTTAGGTCAGTGTGGTGCTGGAGATACAAACCAAGGCGGCTAAAACTGAAGCCCTCACAGTTGTCACCCCCTCCAGCAAATCTGGCCTTTTAAAATTCAGCAGCAGTATGTAAATATCTATGCAACAGGATGTGAACACATGGACCAGTGAGCACGTCAATAAAACTAAGGAAATGACCAAATTCTTTCAGCGGTGTGAAAACTATAGGCACAGCTATCTGTCCTTGAGCACTGATTTTTATGCCAAGCTTAAATGTCAATGCATTCAATCCGATCATCAAATGCACATGGAAGCCTCCCACCTCAAACTGCAGACCAGAGCGCCTATGACTTAAGAAATGGAAATGTGTCAATTTGTGGTTATCAATTCAGCCATGTGCAGCCAAAGGGGATGCCACTGTATACCACCAGTACAGGTTCATCAGTCTGCATTGTGTCCAATCCCCAAATGAAATTAGCCAGTTAAGCTCAAGGAGACGCAATCATATTAAAAATTAGCATAATCTTCACCTCCAACGCCCTCGCCCTAAGTGGAAGATAGGCTAATCCCTGTCATGGTGTATGTAGTGGCTGTGCTCTCTAGAGACAACAGTGCTTCTGGAGCTGTACTGGCCCTTGCATTTGTAATGTTACAATAAAGGTTGGTAGAATGCAGTAAGGACTCACTTAAAAAGGTCTACAA